GTGTGTTACATGCTGCGCCTGCACACGAGGGCCATTTTCCAGGCCCTGCGTCCCTCAGGCTGAAAGCCTGAAATTCAGGCTTAAAGCCTGAAAACCAGGGCCTACAGGCCCCGTGACTGTTCAGCCTGAAAGCCTGAAAACAGGGGCCTACAGTCGCTGTGTCGTTTCAGACTAAAAATGGCAACAGCCTTTTTAGCCTGAAACGAAGGGCCATTTTCGGTCGTTCATCAGAACGTCCGGCCCTGAAACTCAGGCACCGAACCAGGGTTTCGGGAACAGGCTATTCTTAGCCTGTTCCCACGCCAGCCTCAAGCAACTGCTGCAGCGCCAGCCCCTGGCACACTTCGGCATTGGCAAGAGCAGCCTCCGCAGCCTGGCTCGCCCTTCAAGCAGGCCGAGGTAGTACATAGGGACTTCCCATGCACTTCACGGGGAGGCAGGAGGCAGTTGTAGTCTTCAGGATTTGGCAGCAGCACTCTGGAGGGAGCGCTGCAGGGTAGTAGTAGCGTTAGCTTTTAGTCTTCAGCGCTGGGCGCAGTAGGTAGCTGTAGTCTCCAGCGCTGGGCGCCATAGCTAGGATAGCACAAGAGAGAGAGAGAGATTGGGCGGAGGCCAGAGGTACTTACCTGCAGCGCCGTTGCTCCAGCTTCGTCTTCGAGGTACCTGCAGCACAGCGCCAACATCACAGGTTAGTATCTGGCTCGTAACAGAGAGATAGAGTTCTTCTTCTTCCTCTTCTCAGTCCACCATCTCCTTCTCCCCCTCTCATCATCTGACTTCACTGCATCTGTAGACTACGAGAGAAGAGAGAAAGAGCTTGGTGACATCGGATCCAGACTCGACTTTTGGACTTGAGACATGGCAACGAGGGATTATTTGGGACTTGTGACAAAGACTTGGTGTTGACGACATTCCCATCTCTCTCCCTCCTTTCGTCTGATTCCCTCCTCTTCGTCTGTGTATGTCTGGACCTGGCGCTTTCTTCCTGTGTACAGCGCCAGGCTTCTTCACACCTGGTGATGGTTACGATGTATGTTTGGTCTGCGTTCAAACATTGATTGGGCCAGTCATTAGCATTCTAGCATTCTGCTTCGCTATCTGATACTATGTGAATGAGGTCAGTCCCGGTCAGGTCAGGCTTTGTATCTAAGTCTTCCCTGTGCTAGTCAGCACCATTTTGTATGTATTAGAATGCACATTGCTTGTTGAGATTCTACTTGCACTGCATTGTCCATTCAGTCCTTTTTATCACATTGCGGACCCTCGGTTTCTATGTACATCGCCCAACTGGGAATGTAAGAGTTGGTATCGGTGCACCGCACGTGAATCAGGACAACCTGATCTGACACGTGTGCGGGGACTAGATAGCTGATTAGTCTTTACTAATTGATTAGAGCACACTAGTTAGACCCCAAGATCACGATTTTGACCTTACTACCGAAAATCAAAATTTTTTTCTTTTCTTGGATTTTGTTTTCTCGCTATTCTGTTGTGGAAAATCGTAATGGCACAACATCTGAAATTCCCATTTTCGTTTTTCCTCTGAAAATTCGAAATTTCGTTGTTAAAAATCCGGAATATTCAAGAAGGCAGAGGATGCCGAGCAGGCACGTCTGCTGGCACTTGAACAACAGCGCCAGCATGACAAGGCAGCAGCAAGGGCTGCCGATGAAGAAAGAAACCAACGTCGTGAGAAGATATTTAGCGGAGAGTGCTCACAATGGCAGCGGCATGGCTGACCGAGGCCGAGAATGGCAAGTTGGAGGATTGCGAAAACAAGATCGCTCTCCTCCTCTCGCATCTCACAGACCTCCTGGCAACCTGCATTACACAGCAGGAGGATATCCACAGCCTCGACGACTCGCTAGCTCAAGTACAAGGCCGCCTTCAGCAGCTGGAGCAGCGACTTGTCGCCCCCCTCGATGCAAGCTCTTCCAATACCGCCGATCGCCTCGAAGCGTTGGAGATGGACGTTGGCTTTCTCAAGGATGGTGTGCAGTTACAGCAGACCGCAACGCGACAGTTGCAACAGCGGATCTGTACTACTGCCAATACCTCAAGTTCGGAACCGCGCGAGACAGCTCCAAAGTTTGACGGGCAGGAGATCTTCTGCGACTCGAGGAAGACAGATCCGGTTCCATGGTTCTGCAAGTTCGAGCTCTCGCTGCAGCTACACAACGTCAAAGAACACAAGCACCACGCATACTTGTACTCTCGCTCAGGTGTAGTACCTGTTCCGATCAAGTGTAGTATCTGTTCCAATCAGTTTGATATCTGACCTGTCTTAAAAAATAAAAAAATAAAAAAAACACGGAAAAACAGCGCGTGTGCGCGCAC